ATGTTGACTGAGACATCTATGGACGTTTATGAGAGGGAAAACTCTAGAAGGAATCTGTGATACAATGGCATGTGTTTTTTTCAGTTCTTATTTCATTCTAAGAAACCCAAACTGGAGGCTGTAGGCAGAACACTCCAGGTGTAATTGAGCCTGTCGGTACACTTGCCCTCAAAGGAACAGGCCTTGGTTCTCTGCTAAAAACCTGTGGTTGTGCGCTTTACAGCAAGTGACAGGTGGCATCAGCATCTGGAAGACACACAGTAGAGTCTATACTTGAAGAGCTTTGGTGGCTGTCCCCACATAGCCTGGAGATTTAGTAAAGCTTTCATTCTTATTTGTCAATAGAGAAAATGTGATTGGCAGGCTCTGTGCAGCATCGAAACATGTCTGAATGATACGATGTGACAGCAGATTGAAACAGTGGGGGGAAGTCCCACAGCTGTCTTCCCAGGCGGCTGCTCCCTGCCAATCAGAGCCAGCTGCAGAGTTTCCAGAACCAAGGAGAAAACGAAAGCTGGGAGAATTTTCATGTTCAAGTATTAATACAGAGTTTATCATGACCTAAACCGCACTGTTGAGTTTATTCTCACTCCTAAATGAGCCTGTAGTTCCCAGTATCGGGGTCCTGAGTGTGTAACTGTTTATGGGAGGAGATGGGCGTCTGTTCCTTCTTTTTGTTTTTTATTTGTTTTTGTGGGTTTTTTGTTTGTTTGTTTGTGTGTTTTTTTGTTTTTTTTTTGCGTGTGTGCACCGTCAAATCATATCTGACTGGTACAGGAGGAGATTGTCATCTGCTGGATTTGAACCGTACACCTCTGGGATTGCAGTGCAGCTTCCTGCCACTAGGCCACCAGAGCTCCCTGGGTTCCTCCTTTGGAGTAGCTGGGGGGTTAATCCAGGCGGCCTTTCCATTAGCCTCTGGTTGCTTAATCCAGGGCACTGCGGGGGCACCACTGGATGTCTTTCCCAAGGACGGGTGCCTCTTAACAACATGCCTAAAGTACATGAGATGAGGTTTCCCCGTCTTTGCTCCTATAGAACATCCTGGCTGAACTTCCTCCAAGACGTGTCCATTTGTTCTTCAGGTAGTCCTTGGGATTTCCAGTCCTTTTTCCAAGCCACAATTCAAAGGCATTGATTCTTTCTTATTGTCGCAATGATGTAGGTGCTATACAATTTTCAAGATGTCTGCATCAAAGGTATGGTATTATTTGCCGTGGGACAGATGCTGTTATGTGCCATCAAGCTGAGTCTGACTCACAGTGAGACCGCAACAGCAGATTTGAACCCTGCTCTATCCTGCGCCGTCCTCGTCGTCTCTGACATCCTTGAGCCTGTTGCTGCAGTCTCTCTGTCAGTCTGTTTGGTTTAGGGTCTTCTTCTGTCTCGTTGACCTTCACCTTTCGTAGTATGACGTCCCTGTCCAGGGAATACCCCGTACAAGCAATATGCTCAGAGTATGTATATGAGACGAAGTGTCACCATTCTTGCCTCCAAGGAGGATTCTGGCTGCACTTTCGGGCATGGGGTAGAACTCCTAAGGTGGGGGGATTTGACACAGAATCCTGATGTGCAAGATGATGAGGAAAAGTGGGTATTTTTAACTTGAGCTCAGAGAAATTGAAGGTTCTAGCAAGGAAAAAGGTAATTAGCAATTAATTCACTAGCATAAATTATGGGGAAGTAACATTCTTTTAAAAATTGTCTTTAAAAAAGATAGAATTCATATCTAATGATGACACAAACAGATGAATCTAGATATAAAGAAGTAAAAAAGAAAAAAAAGGAAATAAAATTCAAAACCATAAGTTATCCCTGTGGTGGGCAGAGATACCCTCTGTAGTTTTATATTGTCTTTAACAACAATTGAAAAACAATGAAGATGCTGTAACAGAAACAAAGTAAGGAACTAGGCTGAGAGAAATCATCCTAGGTAACTACTGCCTTTATGAAATATTCCTGATGTGTTCTATCGACACCTTAATAGGGCAATGACTGAAGCACCCAGCTGAAAACAAAAGGTCAGCGGTTCAAACCCACCAGTCACTCCACAGGAGAGAGATGTGGGAGTTAGCTTCCTTGAAGATTACAGTCTTGGAAATCCTCTGGTGCAGTTCTAGTTTGTTCTAAGTCAAATATAACTATGTCCGACAGAACAACACCCTGCCCAGCCTACACCGCTGTACGTTTGAGGCTCTGCTTCCAGTTATCGTGTCAAGCTGCCTTAGTGAGGGTTGTATCCTTTTTCACTGACGCTCCTTTACCGAGCATACTGCCTTTCTCCAGGACCTGGCCCTTCCTGACAACACGCCCGACGTATATGAGATGAAGTCTCACCCTCCTTAATTTTAAGGAACATTCTGGCTGCATTTCCTCCAAGATGTATTTCTTCTTTTGGCAATCCATGATATATTCACTATTCTTCAGTAGCACTCCAGTGTTTTAAATATAGGGCCCTACTGATTGGCTGATTATAATTTCCTGAATGTTTTAAAATCATTAACTACACTGTCCTAATTTTTTATTTCTTTCGTGTGGAAGAGATTAAGAACATTTGCAAAAACAAACTACCTCAGACCCTTGCCTCTTAATATTCCTTCCTGCCCTCATTACTTGTCCACATCAATTCAGCACCTTGTTGCTTTGTTTTGTTTTGTTTAAGGTGACCCACTTTGATTTGAGTTCTTGCAAAGCATTCACTTTGGTTTTCATAGAGACATTTCTCTTTGGGCACATGCATCTCACCACTTTACATAATCTGTATTTAATTAAATGTCCTGATATGTTCAATGGTAAACACAGACTTGAGAACTGTCATGGTAGCTGTTGAAAGCAGAAAGGTTAGTGGATTTCTCTCACAGAGCCCAAGAAGACAAAGCAAAGTATTTTAATGAAATGTGCAAAGACCTGGAGTTAGAGAATCACAAAGGAGGCTAACTCAGAATTTCTCAAGAGGAAAAGGACTGAAGAACCGATTCAGGTTCTGAGCTGCAATACTAACATGTCATTTGTTACAGGCACCGACCAGTATACTCTAGGGGGGCTGCAGCGTGGAGGGAGATCTGGTCCTTGAAAGTATTAGTTAGCCTTCCCCGATTCCTGGAGGTTAGTACTCCCATCTTGGAGTTTTCCAACTGCTGGTGGAAGAAACGTCCTGAGCCACACACCTGCCCACGTGCTTTTTGCTCGCATTTGAAATCCCTGTTTTCACAGCCTTCTCACTGTCACTCGGTTTTGGCTTCCATGTGAGTTGTGGAAGGTTTCCCTGAAGGGAATTTCCTGTATGCCTGTTGGTGTTTTAATCAGTCTATCCAAAACGCGACCTTCCAATTTATGTGCCATCTTTCCTCATGTGGAGGGGTGACAAAAACCTAATGCCATTGTCTATATGATTAAGAACCTGACCTCTGTACAGAAGGGGGAAAAAGGTGCAGCAGGTGGACGGTGAGGAGCCATTTTAAAATAAACATGGTCACAGCCTCTCGTCTGGTCTAGAAGATTCTACTTGTGATGATGTTGAGTGGAAGGCACTCTACATCTGCGTGGTTTGCTACACTTATTTTAGCCAGAGAAAGTTCTGGAACCCTGTCTTCAACACTGAAAGGTCTGCAGATTTCCTAATATTTGCTGAGTTGTTTGTATATTAAAAGGCCCATTGATTAGACTGGCCAAATGCAGTTTCTCACAAAGAAATTCTAGCTCCCCCATAAAGACAGACCACGGCTCAGGAATGAGAAAGAGTGATTTTATTTCCCTTTCTCACCATTTGAGTTTTTAAAGCTCTTTTCCAGGAAAGGTGGTGGGGAATCTGTAAGGAAATGTGCGCATTGCCCTTGTTTTGGCTCTGGCTCATGGCGACCCCGTGTGTTGGAGAGTTGAACTGCACACTGGTTTTCCCCATCTGTTCTGTTTCAGAACAAGCCTTCTTGGGGTGGTGCCTTGTGTGTCCGGCTGCTAACCGAAAGGCCAGTGGTTCAAATCCACCAACCACTCATGATAAAACGAGGAGGCAATTTCCTAGACTGCCGATAGAGGGTCACCATGAATTCATTCAAGGGTAGTGGGTTTAGTTTGAAATTTCCAAAGAGATTGTCACACCTACCTTCCCAGGCCCCTTCCACCTTTTAGTTGGTGGGCAGTGTCTAACCACTAGCATCATCCAGGTGCCCTTTCTTTTTTTAATCAATAACCTTTAGTTAAGACAGCACCCTCATGATTTCATTTCACTTGGGTCCACAGTCCACACCCTTAGTACCAGCAGTCAGGAGATCCGGAGACACATTGCACTGGGCAAGTCTGCTCTCAGGGGCCCCTCTAAATTACTGAGGAGCAGTGAGGTCAGTCTGAGGACTGATATGCATCTGATTCAGGCCATGGTCTTTCCAATCACTTGCTGTGCATCTGAGAGCTGGACCAGGAAGAAGGTTGACAGAGAAGAAGGGTTGATGCCTTTGAGCTGTGCCATGGTGCTGAATATGCCATGGACATCCAAAAGAACAAACTTATGTGCCTTGGACAAGGTACAGCCTGAGTGCTCCTTGGAGGCAAGGATGGGTGGATTGTTCATCTACTTCGAGCACGTTGCTAGGAAAGACTATTCCTTGGAGAGGGACATGATTCTTGAAAAGGCAGAAGGTCAGCCAAAGACAGGAAGGGCCTCAACTAGAAGGCCTGACAGTGACTTCAGTAATGGGCTCAGAGGGTCAGAGATGATGAGGACGGCACAGGACAGGGCACGGTCAGGTCTCCCTGAGTGGTATCTGAGTAGATGACACCTAATAACTACAACCTCTCCCCCTGCCAGGACTGAGCTCTGACAAGCACCTTCTTAGTAGCTGGGGGCTTATGAGGACAGACAGCCAAGGGGGACAGATGTCCAGACGCGAGTCCAGTGGGAGAGGCAGCTCCCTTCTGGGGGGTCTGAAAGGTCTACCCCCCTTCCTCTTACAAGATGCTGCTCACGAGAAGCCTGACTCACTCTCCCCCTTCTCTCCCTGCAGGCAATGTGACTGGAAACAGTAACTCCACGTTCATCTCCAGCGGGCAGGTCATGAATTTCAAGGGCGACATCATCGTGGTCTATGTTAGCCAGACGTCGCAGGAGGGTGCAGCAGCTGTAGGCGGGGAGCCAGGGGAGCCAGGGGACCCTGAGCCTGAGCCCCCCGCGGGCCGCCCAGTGCAGGAGGAGAGCTCTGCGCGCTGTGACACCTTCGCGGGGGGCGGTGCACGCCTGGCAGACAAGGAGGAACCCGAGGGGGCACCCGTGCAGGAGCAAGGACCCGCACCCCGTGCTCCCCGGGCCTGGCGCTGAGGCTGCACCCTGGCTGGGACCACCGTGGCCCCGGTCCCCGAGCCAGGCAACAGGATCCAGGTGCCAGGCGACAGGTCCCAGGTGCTAAGGAGCCAAACCCCACACCTGGACATGGCTGCACCCTGCACCAGGCAACGGGATCCAGGTGCCAGGATAATCCCCGTCCACATCCTGCTGCTAGCCACAGGATCTAGACACAGGGACCCGGCCTTCTGTCCCGCCAGCTGACAGGATCCTGTCGCACTTGGCACCAGGTTCCAGGGTCCGGGTGCTAGGGACCTATGCAGGGTGCAAGGACCCATCACAGGCTACATCCCACAGCAGCCACCAGGGTCGAGCACAGGGACCCAGCCTCAGCCCTGGCCAGGCGACAGATCTGGGCACAGGGACCTGGCCTCAGCTCTCCCTGCCGCATCAGGGTCTGGCTGTAACTCATGGTGTCACATCAGTCCACGCTCAGAGCAGAAAGTGGGGCTTGGTGACTGTGGGAGCAGCCAGTCAGCTATGTCTCCAGTGGTTATTTCCATGTGACTTATTTGCATTTGGCTCAGGTGCCACCGGACTGATTGGACACACAGATCTGACGATGTGTGGATCTGAACCTGTAATGGGGCCTGCCTGACTCGCAGATCTCACAGTGGGAGTCAGCACCCCAGGACAGTGCCTCTTCCTTCCCCTGAAACTGCACAAGGGTTTCCATTTGGCTGGTTCCAAATCTGCTGCCTTTGTCCAGTGCCTTTGTCCAGCTGGTACCTTTATGCAAAATTACATGACCTTTACTCAACATTCTTTCTATGAGGACAATTACTGCTTAAAAGTGAATTTATTATTGCCATTCACTGATATCAAACAGGTGTCCACTCAGATGGACAGTCCCCATTCTATCTCTAAGTTGAGTTTGTATAGAAGTCAGGTCAGGTCCAGTTTGTATCTAAAGTCAGGTAAATGTTTGTCTTAGGATGCAGAAGTTCTAGGCATGACCGTTAAACATTTCCAGGTACACTAAGGTTTAACATAGTAATACCATCGTGGTCGGAGGCCAAATAGTGCCCATTTGTTGCTACAAACTGTTGTATGCACCAGAGACTTCTATTACATACTTGTCTCCCAACATTTTTCTACATTTTGCTTTCTCTTTGGGTGTTATTCCCAACATACACACCTTCTCCAACATAATTTCATCAGTAACTTGCCTCTTTATGATGTTTTTTTGGGGGGGGAGGAAAGTTGAAAATGCACAGTCCTATACCATTTCAACAATTCCTGGGAGTCCAACTCAAAGACATCAATAACATTCTTCAGGTTGTCCGAACAGTCTCACCTCTTTCTCCAAACTGCTCCACCACCTCTGACTTGGAGGCATCAGCCCCCTTAGGGTCTCATTGAACCTGCTGAGTTGATCTTGCCAAGTTGGTCACACAGAGACGCTTCTCTGAAAAAGTGTCTCAAGGTAGCCACACTTTAGAAAAAGAAACTATTTTAACTCAAAGAAGACCTCGGGATAGTTTTGATTTCATGTTTAAAGTTTAAAGATTATCTGAGGGTGGTAGTTTGAGGGGTTCATCAGTCTTCCTGTCTCCAGAAAGTGTGCATGTGTTTTTTGTTGTTTTGTTTTGTTTTGTGGGGTTTGTTAAAAAATGTGTTTTTACAAATAGTTTGTTCTATCTGATCCTGTGTTTATTTCCTGTTTTTCATTTTCTCTTAGAATATTCCTTTTGCTTCTTTCTCCCCCTTTTCTGACTTTTGAGGGTCTTCCTGAACATTCTAGCCTGTTCTCAGCATGACAGTCCTCACTTGCGCTTTCTTTGCACACTTTCTCACGTACCTGCGGGGTCTGTGTTTTGCTTTTATAAGGTGTTTACAAGGGCTTTTAAGAAAAGGCTGAAAATGTGAAAACCTGGAAGGAGGGGCTTTTAGATTCTGAAAATTTTTTTAAGTTTTTCTGTGTTCTTTTTCTAAAAGCAGAGGGAAAAAGAAAACCCTCCTTTTCTTCCTGAATATTTTATGTTTGTGTCAATTCTATAAGTGAACAAAGATGTTATGCATATTCTCTAGTCCAACACTGCCCTGGAGGAAAGGCTTGGATGCAGATTCATTCATTTCTTCACTCTGGTAACAATTTATTTACTCTGTTAACAGAATCTCTGGAACTCCATGTTGCTCTACAACTTGGTTTTCTTATTCTTTGTGGTTTTCTGAAAAAAGTGTGGAGAATTAATGGTGTGCTGTTACAGGCTTCACAGAGAATGAGAAGGGGCCTGAGCAGTGCCAGAAGGAAAGGACAAAGTTGAAATAACTTATTTACCTTGGGCTACTAACCAAAAGGTCAACAGTTCAAATCCACTGGGTATTCCTCAGGAGAAAGATAATCTATGCCCTTTGATAAAGATTTACAACATCAGAAACCCAACAGGGTTGCCATGAACCAACTCATAGGTAGTGGGTTTGGTTTTTTTAGTTTAGGTAAGAATGACATCAACGTGTTTAGGCAATTGGTCTCTTTTTTTTCCTTTGTAAACAATGGTGCATCTGTGATTCAGTCTGGTAGAAGTGGGAAATGTTATTGCTGTTTTTCAATGCATTTATGTGAAAAATCAAATCCTGCTATTGTGAATGGGAAAATTTATCCAAGGGATGTTTCTTCTTGGTCTCCATCCCTGATGAGAAAGGTTGTGGAGAAGGCTGGTTCCACTTGCTGTGGCCAGAAAGTGTTTGTCCTCAAAGCCTGTGGAGAGACGTTTAAACACCTGAGCGAGTTCAGATGATCATTGTTGCTCTGGGAGGCCATACGAGGGCTCCACATGGCCGCTGGTCAGTCACCTGGGGGCCACAGATGCCCAGCAGAAAGGAATGGTCATTGATCGCTGGTTCCTCCCTCTGGTTGCTGTCCTGAAAACATTGAGATGGTGGCGGTGTAACAGTCGATACACTTCTTAATGAAGAAGCAGAGTTGGGATCTATGATTTATGAGGCTCCTTAGCTGACATTTTGGGGGGGAAAAATCCCACCCCAAAACCCTGCAGGAAATAATTTAATTGCCAAGATGATCAGTTAGTGGGAATTTATTGTCTCTTCTGCCCTTTTCGTTAACATCCATCCAAAGAGAGGTATTAAAAATGGAAGAAATCGTTCTACCTTTTCACGTAGGTCATAATCAGCAAAGTGCGATACATGAAAAAGAACACTGAGCTAAATAATCCTTATTTCCACGGTGACCCCATTGTCATCTCACTATGATGACGCTTGGCCTTCATAATTCTGTCAACCTTTCCACAGGATGGCACTCGATTTTTCTGTGCCTTTCTCTTTTCTTCTGTGTAAAGTTAATAATGGCATTTTTTTTTTACCAGTGTCCCAGCCAAGGATATCAAAAGGATGTTGAAGAGAATGTTAAGAAAACGTTGAGTTCTTTAGTTAAAGATTCTGTGTTAGTAATTAGGGAGCTTTGGTGGTAGAGCCTTGGGGTGGGGTGGTGGTAACCCCAAGGCAGCACTTCTCGAGTCCCCCAGCCACTCCTTGGGAGAAGATGGACAGTCTCCTCACCTGCGATTTACAGCCTTCAGAAACCTGCTGGAGGGTCAGTGCTGAGTCGATTCTGACTCCACAGCAGTGATTATAGAAACACATGTGGGGCCTGGTGTGTTGCATGTTACTGTTGACTGAAAAGTCAGTTGTTCGAATTCACCCACTGCTCTGTGGGAGAAAGGTGAGGCCCCAGGCACCCAGTGGGCCTGAGTTGCAGCTGGCTGGAAGGCAGTGGGTTTGCCTTCTGGTTTCTGTAAATACGTCAGAATCCACATTCCGGGAAAGGCAGTATTCTTTTTCACACTGGTCCTATGAATTCTGTATGGATCCCAACAGAATGACATGATAGACGATGAATCATTTTCTCTGTGTATTGTAGAGGTGTTATGTGAGAAATGCAAGCAGAATGAAATGAAGACGGTAATGAAAAATGGTCTAGAAGACGTGATAAAGTGATTATTAAATTTACATATGATCATAAAAGATTTGTTTATGGCTCCCTGACAGATGTCTGAAATGGTGATCAGGTTTCTTCCCGATTTCGATGGTATGTTGAGGTGTCAAACGTTGCTTATATCACGTCTTCTCGGAACCTCAGCAACAGAGTTGGCACATAATACACGGTTGGTTTTATAAGAAAATTCTTTAAAATACAGCTCAGCTAACCCATGAAAATGTCAGTGTGGCCATGAGTCTAATGTTTCCAACCCATGTTTGAGACAGCTATTGGGAGAAAGAAGCCTTCCTTTCCCTGCCTTTGAGCTGTGGTGTTGGGAAGGAGTAATGAATATGCCTGCTGAGGGAACAAATACGTCTTGGATAAAGTGAAAGCAGGTGCTTCCTAGAGGCAAGGATGGTGAAACTCCATCTTCCACACTTTGGGCTTGATGTCAGGACAGGCTGGTCCTCGGGAAAAGACATCACACTTGGAAAAGGGGATAATCAGTGAAAGAGAGGAAAATGCTTAACAGGATGGATTTACCATGACTCTAACAATGGTCTCAAGTATATCAGACATGGTGAGGACAGCACAGGGCAGGACAGGACACAGACTGACTATTCGTAGGCTCTCTGAGGGTCGCGATTACCATGACAACGCCTGACAACGAGTCCGTGGGTGACACAGCGGTTAAGTGCTCAGCTCCTAGCCTAATGGGCAAACCCAAGTGGTAGTGGTTCTATCCCCCACCTGCTCCCTGGAGAAAGATGGGCTGTCTCCAGTCAGACGGGCAGTCTCCAGCACAATTCACAGCCTCTGAAAACCTGCTTAAAGCTGGATCATAACTGAAAATGGGGGAAAAGGCTGAGCAAACAAAACCAAACCTCCACACTGGAAAATAAGTCAATAATGTCCCACTTCTATTTAGTAAGAACTTTAGGTTAGGAATGACCCAAACGTAGCTAATGCCAAATTTAGCGGAAGAGAAATATTTTTGCTTCTAGAAACAGTCTTAGAAGAAGTGCTGGAAGAATGC